AGATGTAGATGAGTTTGTTTCTTCATCAGATTTAGAGAAATGTAGCATTGCATCATTTGCTCACCAATGGATGTGAATGGGTGCCGTCAGAACGAGAGTCCAAACAACTGATAAAAACATCACAATAATCAACAGCACTCCAGTCCATCAGTTAACATCTAGAGAAGACCAAAGCTGAAACAAATCCATCAAGACTTTTTTTTAACTTCAAACCATTGCTAAAAATTTAGCAAATTGTCCATAATCCATAATAACACTTCCTCCAGTGAAAAAGTGCATCTGCTGTTGTCTCTCACAACAAAATCCAGCCACATATATGTTTAGAGCTGTTTAAACACTGCTTGAACTGTGCAGATTTCTCTCTTGATTCAGAGCAGAACACTTTTTCACTGGAGGAAGCGTTATTATGGATTATGGACTATTTTAGTTAAAAAGTCTTGATGGATCTGTTTCAGCTTCTGTCTTCTCCAGATGTTAACTGATGGACTGGAGTGCTGTGGATTATTGTGATGTTTTTATCAGCTGTTTGGACTCTCATTCTGACGGCACCCATTCACTGCAGAGCATCCATTGCTGAGACACTGATGCAAGTGATGACTTTTAATTTTTTTTTCACTGTGCATTTCCTAAGAATAGAACCCATGACTTTGGCATTGCTAGCGCATTTTCATGGAGTGTGGCCAGGAAGCGTGTTTGTTTTTGAGAAGACAACTGTTGACACACACACACTTAGTAGCATTTGTGTGCTGATCTATTTAGATAGCCTGGTTTATTTTAGAAAAAAGCTGGTTAATCTCACACAAACCTTTTAAGAACACGTTCAAGTCATATTTCACCAAATAAAAATTTTGGTTTTTTTTGCTAAAAAAAAGAGACCTGTTTTTTTCTCTTTAATATTATTTGCATTGTGACGATATTTTCTTGACAATTATGCATGAATTTGCCCTCTCCTAAATTGTAATCACTGAAAATATTTAAGAATTTTTTAATATTATTTTTTTTAAATATTTAAAATATATATTTTATATTAATATTTACAATTATATATTTTATATTAATATTTAATTAGTAAAATTGTACAAAAAGTGCATATGAAGTCCCAACTACTATAATACATATAATTTATGCTATAATTTATTCTGATTTTAATTATAAAAAAAATCATTGTTCCCATTTATGATTCTCTTTACGGTTACTGTATTAATAACGAATAAATAAATAAACAAATAAATGTATTGTTACTATATTTCACCTTTTTTAAGAAAACACACCAAAACAAAAATTTTTCTCACATCTGTATCTTTAATATTATTTGGATTGTGATTTTTTTTGTGACAGTTTTGCATTAATTTGCCCCCTCACAAGTTTTAAGTACCGAAAGTATTGTTATTAATGTGTGTGTGTGTATAAGTGTGTGTGTGTGTGTGTATAAGTGTGTGTGTGTGTGTGTGTGTGAGTGTGTGTGTGTGTATAAGCGTGTGAGTGTGTGTGTGTATAAGCGTGTGTGTGTGTATGAGTGCGTAAGAGTGTGTATAAGCATGTGAGAGTGTGTGTGTGTGTATAAGCGTGTGTGTGTGTATAAGTGAGTGAGTGAGTGTGTGTGAGAGTGTGTGCGTGCGTGTGTGTGTGTGTGTGTGTATAAGCATGTGAGTGTGTGTGAGTGTATGCGTGCATGTGAGTGTGTGTGTGTATAAGCGTGTGAGTGTGTGTGAGAGTGTGTGCGTGCGTGTGTGTGTGTGTGTGTGTATAAGCGTGTGAGTGTGTGTGAGAGTGTGTGCATGCATGTGTGTGTGTGTATAAGCGTGAGAGTGTGTGAGAGTGTGTGTGAGTGTATAAGCGTGTGTGTGTGTGTGTGTGTGTGTGTGTGTGTGTATAAGCGTGTGAGTGTGTGTGAGTGTGTGCGTGCATGTGAGTGTGTGTTGAGAGGAATCCTGCGC